GACCCTGGGACACTGCAACTGTCAGAAATATAAACCAGTTGCCAAGTGTCCAAATTTTGATCATGGGATCCTACAGAACTCGTAAGTGCGAAAAATGGTCATAAGTCAATTTTTCCAGTATCCTTATAACTTCAATCACCAAGTGATTGGTTGTAAGTTGAGGTCTACCTGCCTTTTAGTTTCTTTTCATTTCTAGAACTGATAAATAACAAATTATAAGTGTATGAATAAAATGTGTTATTAGCCAAACTCTTTATAGCTTTTAATTAACTGCTTGCATCTAACTATTCCTAGAGGATGCATACATATTTAATTGATAGCTCTTCATACTAAAAATTAGCCTGATTGCAACTTGATGTGCCTCTAGAGATCTTTCTTTTTTTCCCTTTCCTTCCCTTTTTTCTTTTCTTTTCTAACTAAGCAGCCCAAAGGAGCTATGTGCTAATAGATTATCAAACTTTTAATACTAATTAGTAATTCAATAAAGTATTTTCCCAGTAATGCTTTATCTTTTAATATAAATTTTAAACCATTTTACTATATATACTCTGTGTGTGTGTAGGTGTGTGTGTGTGTGAATGACTGTTTTGCAATCCAATATTTTAGTATCATTCATTTTTGCTATTGGAATGAAAACTTTGTAGATAAATATACTATAAAATATATCTGGAGATAGATATATTGTAGATTGCATGGTCTACCATTTTTTTTAAAAAAAAATCATGGTCTTTTGTTTACTTGACCAGAGAGTACTTTTGAACGCAGGGGCTGAAGAAGCAAATGTAGACATTGTTACTAAGGTTTTGAGAAGTTGTGGATTTGTTGAACATTTTTGCCAACTCATTCCTTTCCAAAGAAGTATTTTGCTGAGTCACACGGGTGTTTTTTTTCAGTGCAATGTCTCAGGAGTCCCTCATCACAAGCTTCCTTTAAAACTGACTCAGTTTTTGAACATGTGAGGGGAAAAAACGGAGTCTGACGCCTTCTTGCTCCGAAAAACAGGGAAGGAGTGAAAATGTGACTAGGCATATTTAATTGCTTATGTCAACCAGAAGCTTGTTTGTTTTTATGTCAACTTCTAAAAAAGAGGAAGTTTCCTCCTTGGCTGAGCTTTGAAGAACACTTTGTGGTTTACTGGCTCCTCCTAAAGAAGCCCATTACATTATATGTTGGTTTTTTAGTGCATATTCATCTTAAGAGTTTTCTAGAGTAGCTCCCCTGCTTTCTAGAATTAGCTGTAACCGTTAGTCTCATTCTTGCAGTCAACCTGTGAGTCCTTCTGTTCCAGTTTTGCTGGTGGGCCTTCTTCTCCCAGCCTGTTCTCTTCAGGCATTGTGGGGCTTATGATTTTCAAAATTGCCAGCTATATCTGAAGAGCTTTCAGTAAGGAAAAATAAAGAGACAATAAAGCTGAGAAGAAAGGGGATTTCTGAGGGCTATGCATATTATGGGAGTTCACTGGGATTCCCCTCCATCAGAGCAGGACCATGGAGAGAACATACTTTTTCTCCCATACTAATAAAAAAAATCCCTGCAAGCTGCATTAACAATAAACTGTTGTTTTTTTTTAAGGAGGACGCTCCTATTGGTACCCAAGACAACATTTCCCACTTAAAATAGTAGTTAAATTTAAAACCCCTCCATATTTTTTCTATAATTCAGGGGTTGAATTATAGGCCAAGTCCAGGGGGGGGGGAGATATCTTTAGGATATTTTTTTGTAGCAATTATGTTAACTGTTCACTCTAGCTTATGTTTCATATACTGTTTCCTGGCCACTTTCATTAATTACTGAACACTAATTTGATTTAAAGATTTTGAAATCTTCAAATGAGATGCGGTACTTTAATACATTGTACAGGTAGTCCTCAATTTATGACCACAGTTTAGCCCAAAATTTCTGTTACTAGGTGAGGCAGTTGTTCAGTGATTTTTGCGCCATTTTATGACCTTTCTTGCCAAAGTTGTTAAATGAATCACTGCAGTTAACTTAGTAACATGGTTGCTAGGGTGAATCCAGCTTCACCATTGACTTTGCTTGTCAGAAGGTGGCAAAAGGAGATCACGTGACCCTGGGATGCTGCAACTGTCATAAATATGAACCAGTTGCCAAGCATCCAGATTTTGATCATATGAACATGGGATGCTGCAATGGTCATAAATATGAAAAACGGTCATAGGTCACTTTTTTCAGTGATGTAACTTCGAACTAAATGAACTGTTGTAAGTTGAAGACTACCTGTACTAATCTAATATTATTTTTTCTTTTTTGTTCAGTTTTATATGACTTGCCAACCTTTTTTTTCTGTTTTTCTTCATGGGTTTTTTCCCCCCAGTTCTTTTTCTCCTGATTGTGTGTTTTAAATACACACTAAAAATTAAAAGAAGATGGCCCCTAATGCATTTGCTAACAGTTGCTAATAATAGAACTGTGGGTTGTGTTGCAGAACTTCCAGGGTGCAGCCTGTCAATTATTGCAGGTTCTCCCTCTGCTCATCTGCAGATCTGGAGTGAAATGTTTACATATGCTCACGATAGATAGATATATGTATATAAACACTTACTCGCTTAAAGGTTTCCAAATAGACTTCAATATCTTCACAATAATTTAGATGAATGGATAGAAGGGGCACTCATCAAATTTGCAGAGGACACCAAGCTGGCAGGAATAGCCAACACTCCAGAAGACATGCTCAAGATACAGAAGAATCTCAACCCTGGGCCCTATCTAACAAAATGAAATCGAATGGTGAAAAAAATAAGGTTCTACATTTAGGCAAGAAAAAACAAATGCACAGGTATAGAATAGGTAGTACCTGGCTCAATAGGAGTACCTGTGAGAGGGAGCTTGGAATTCTAGTGGACAGTCACTTAAATGAGTCAGCAATATGCTGCAGCTACCAAAAAAGCCAACAAAGTCCTAGGCTGCAATAGGGATAGAATCAAGATCATGTGAAGTATTAATACCACTTTACAATGCCTTGGTAAGGCCACACTTGGAATACTGCATCCAGTTTTAGTCACCACAGTGTAAAAAAGATGTTGAGACTCTAGAGTACAGAGAAGAGCAACAAAGATGATTTGGGGACTGGAGGCTAAAGCATATAAGGAACGGTTGCTGGAATTGGATATGTCTAATTTAACGAAGAGAAGGATGAGGGGGGACATGATAGCAGTGTTCCAGTATCTCAGGGGCTGCCACAAAGAAGAGGGAGACAAGCTATTCTCCAAAGCACCTTAAGGCAAGACAAGAAGTAACGGATGGAAACTAACCAAAGAGAGAAGCAACCTAGAACTAAGGAGAAACCTCCTGACAGTTAGAACAATTAACCAGTGTAACAACCTGCCTCCAGAAGTTGTGAATGCTCCAACACTGGAGATTTTTAAGAGATTGGACAGCCATTTGTCTGAAATGGTATAGAGTTTCTTGCTTGAGCAGGGGGTTGGACTAGAAGACCTCCAAGGTCTCTTCCATCTCTGTTATGTTGAGGCTTTCTAAACCAGGGGTGTCAAACTCAATTTCTTTGATGGCCGCATCAGCATTGCAGTTGCCCTCGGGGCCGGGTCCAGGGTGCGTGTGGCCTGCTGGGTGGGTGTGGATGGAATGAGTGTGATCTACCGGGTGGGCAAGGCCAGCTCTCCATCGTTTGCGTCAAGGGTGCCTGTGGGGGCCTGGACAGGACAGATATGAGGGTCTCTGGCAGAAGGGGGTGGGACCAGGGCAAGTGCCAAAGCATGGTCCACTGGAGGAGCCTCACTGTTCCTCTCAGGCCATGCAGTGGGGGCTGGATGGTGATGCGGGCTTCCCGGAGCCCTGGGCAGCAGAGGTCAAATGCCCAGCCTGGCCCTTGAGCACCCTGGGCAACAGAGGTCAAATGCCCAGCCTGGCCCTCCAGCACCCATGGCACCAAGTCCAGTCCCACTTATCCAAGGGGGTGCCCAGCTGCACTTACCTCCTCAAAGCTGCTGCTGCTGTGATTGCTCTCCTTAGCCAGTTGCTCATGATAGGTACAAGGGCAAAGTCAGAGGGAGGCCCATTCCCTCTCCATAGGATGAGATCCTGCTTTGTATCCAAAGTTTCCTTAGCAATAGGATGGGAGACTCCCAGGATAGGCCAGGAGGAGGGGGCAAGGGGATGGTGAAAGGGCAGCAGGGCAGGACTAAGGTAGGACTTCCCTCAGACCCTCCCTCTCCTTTCCTTCCTTCTTTCCTAAGTACAGAGTGGTGGGAAAATATTTGAGATGAGGAAGAAAAACAGGCAAGAAACGCAGCTGGGGAGGTGTCACCCTTCGTGAGGAATGAAGAAATGCACCATTGTCTGGAAGTGGCCAGTGCGATGGTGCATTTCTTCATTCCTCACAAAGAGTGACACCTCCCCAGCATGCACCCAGGGGGCGGGGGCGACTTGGCAGGGGCTGGTTCCTCGCTGTTTTCAGACGGCCTTGTGGAGCTAAGACTGAATGCATTTCAGCATAGATGGCCACCATAAAATGGTATATTGGCTCCCGGCCAGCCTGGGCCAGGGTCAAGGCAACGGGGGCGGTTCCCTCACTGTTTCCAGGATGGCTTCGTGGGCCACATGAAATCACTTTGCGGGCCGCATCCGGCCCCCGGGCCTTGTGTTTGACATGTCTGTTCTAAACCTTAGTAAGGAGAACACTTTTCTTGATTTGATGGGAACTGATCCCACAAGAGGGAAGCTCCAGGAATTCTTCCACTGCCCTTTGTGGGGCAGGGACTTTCACTTTCTCCTAACACATTTTAGGTGGGCAGGTTTTCTATAAGGTAGGCAATTTTGAAGATTCTAAGGCTATAACCCGTGTGTGGAACTGAAATCAAACACAGCGTTTCTCTGATCCCTTTTTTGGGGTGCCTCTTAAGGGTCAAAAGTCACCCTGACCTAAAGGAAATTGCAGAAACTTGCTGGTTAAAACTGCTGATCAACTTTGGAGTTTACATGCTCACTTTTTATTGATTCTCCTTCTTTTTTGTTTCATTCAGGTGTCTTGGCACTCTGGGCCCTAATCACACATGTGATGTATATGCAGGACTATTGGAGAACCTGGTTGAAAGGTCTGAGGTTCTTCATGTGTGTTGGCATTTTCTTTGGCATACTCTCCGTGGTGGGATTGTGCACATTCCTGGCCCTGGCCATCATAAAGAAACAATGTAAGTCTATAATTTGGTTCTCTTTTGAAGTCTAACACTAGCAGATCTGTGCAGCCGGAAAAAAAAAAGAAAGAAAGAGGGCGAGCCAATTTTGTGACAGCCATGAAATCTACTCCTCTTCCCCCCTTCTCCTCATTTACAGAATCCATCAGACAATTTCACCACATTCTCTGCAAAGAGTGGGATCCTCTGGACAATATTGGACTCCACTAATCCCAGTTGATATGATCAGTTTTCAAAAATTATCAGAATGGTAACCCAGCAGCATCTGACTCCCCACTCCTGAGTTAGAAACCTGCACCTCAGCATGGGAGGATCCTTTGCTAAAAATAGGTGAAGGTGCAAAGATGTATATATGAGCTGGAATATATAATCCTACAACCTTTGAATTGTTTGCTCAAGCCATTGTGTGCTTGTAGACCCACTTTCTCAAGTTCAAGGTTGGATGCACCGGTGCTGCCTTAATTCTGCTTGGTTCTACATAATACTTGAATATGACTCCCTCAAAAGGGAAATCCAGGGGTGGGCTTTGACCGGTAGATATTCAACATGGCTTGGAAATTGGCTTTCCTTATACTGTCGTATCGTTCGCTCTCGGATTAGCTGGTGACATCACTGTTGCCCAGAGGATGTCCTTTCATGTCCCTGTTAAGTTGCCCACCAAAATGGTACCTATTTATCTACTCACGGTCATTTGCTTTCAAATTGCTGGGTCGACAGGAGCTGAAGTGAGTGATGAGAGCTCACTCCATCACATGGCAGCAGTCTTGCATCCTAGCCACATGAGCCACCACTCTCCTTATTGTCTTATAAACTCTTCAAGATTTGCCAAAAACAACATTGTAAGTTTATTTGATCACTCTAAGCCATCCTTCTCTAATCTGGGGGCTTTCCCATGTGTTTCTTCACAGCAGGCTAGGTAAAAATTCTAGGAATTATTCTTGAAGCATCAAGCTAGCAACTGGCAAAGACATAAACTTGCCATAGGAACAGCAGTTTCCAGGTGTTGCTCAATTCCTTGTCTCTGACTGTTGGGCATCTTGCCTGAGATTGCTGGAGTTATAATTTAATGACAGCGTCTAGGACAAGTAAAGACTCTCTGGGATTCTAGATGTTGTTGAGTGATATTTGTTGAGTGATAGTTCTCATAATCCTCAGTCACTTTAACTGTTGTTCAACAACAGTGGAAGATTGAGCATTCTGGGTGGATATTGGAAGTAATGAACCTGGTTAACAAAGTAATCAACACTGGAGCTGTATACTACTTCTTCCTCTTAATAAAATGCTGAATTTGCTTGATCTTCCCAGCCTTTACAGATCCACAGAGCTACTATCTATCCTGCATCTGGAGCATCCTTTCCCTCAAGTGGGCTTTTCTCCTTGGCTTATACTCTCATCGGTACAAGAAGGAGTTTGCTGACATCAGCATTCTGAGTGACTTCTGAGATCCTGAATGTCCATTCCATCAAAGAAAGACCCTGGAGGGTCAAGGAAGGCTATTGTTCATCTGATTGACAGTTGGAGGCAAGGGGTTGGCCAGAAGGCGGCTGAAAGAAACAGACGGCAGGTACCTGGCCTGCTTCTGCATTTTGTTTGCTGGTCCCATTAGGAACGCTTCCTAATTGCTTTTGTCCAGTCATTCGCCCTTTTGACTAGTTCTATTTGTCCGTGTGTGCTCGTCATTCACAAAGACTTTGTTGTTTGAATGGATGATTCAAGATGTCCAGCAGGACCTGAGTTTTTGTCCCAAGTCTCTAATGCCTATGGCCTATGGCATTTTTCATAGTTTTTTTTTTTTTCTCTTTAACGAGAAGCCAACTTTCCCTTTTGGGACAGGAGCAGGGGCAAAGTCTATGGTCCAGTCTTATAAAGCAAGGATTGATTTGTACGCCTTTCATACAGATGTATTTTTATAGCTCAAGGTGTGAATCCATTTTAAAACAACTTTTTTTAAAAGCAAGCTTTCCTCCCTTTCCTGGTGCTTTGGTGAGGAGGCTTACAATTGTGCTGCTGGTGTTGGTCATCACAGTTTAGGGACAAGAAATGTATGTTGTGAACAAAACTGTACTCTGCACCTTTTTTTCCTTCTTACCAGTCTTAAATAGTTAAAATGGATGTTTCTTTAATTTGAGTTAGGCAAAGCTAAATACTGTTACAAAGGCATCTGCAGTTTTGAAGAGTGACCACGTGGGTTAAGAAGGAAAACAACATTCCTATCCAAACGTTTTCCCTTCCCTCATAGCTATCTGGTCAACATAGGGAGGGACCTGGAGAATTCCAGATGTTGTTAATTACAGCTGCCAATAGCCTCAGCCAGTGGTGATAAATATCACAGCCTGGGCTTCAGAAATATCTGAAGGGCCCCGAGTTCCATAACGCCAGGCCATTATCTACACAACACTTTGCTTTTTTGTGTTTGTGTCTAAAGCTGATAGTTGTCTGTTTCTTGCAGACTGGGACAAAAATCGATAATTGCCACAATTATCTTATTCTCTGCTTTTTCTTCTGGTTGAATAGGAATTCAGTGGTGAATGAGTTACGCATGGACTGTTGGCCAATGAATTTGGGGTGGTCATTCCTTCAGTGGATTCACTTTTTGCAACATTCCCGGCATAAACTAATTTACAAAAAGAAAAAAAATGCATTTTGTTTTAGCAGAACACTTAGCTGAATTAGATCAAACTTGTATGAGATAGAGTTGAAGAAGTGGGATGGGTACCACATATGAGAATAAATGGTGAATTGGGAATTTCTCACCTGGACATATTCTTGCCATTATAATCTCACTTAAAATGTTTCAGTTGTTATACAGTGGATGTGTTTGAATGGGGGATGTGTTGCACTGTTCCTCCTTCACCTATTTCTCCCCATTTTCCTTATGCTGACCTGACAATGGGGTATGCAATCCTCCTCTGTCTTTCTGTCCTACTCTAAGAGCCCTTAGCATTTCCTTGGGGCCAACACTTGTCCTCCATCCAAAGGATAGATTATTGAGATTTGGAGTAACCTTAATTTGAACGCAGAATTATAGAGGATGACCTGTCTTTTAAACTTCTGTATCTTTACAGAAGACCAGTATTTCTCAATCTTGGCAGCTTGAAGATGTGAGGACTTCAACTCATGTTGATTGGGGAATTCTGGGAGTTGAAGTTCACAGATCTTGAAGCTCCCAAGGTTGAGAAACACCGGCATAGACTTTTGTGTAGAATGATCTCTAATCAGGCAGCTGTGGCCAACCCAATTGATCCTAATATGTCAGGAAACACTGGGGTGCGAACCAAGTGGCTCATAGTTCCCTTTGGATTTATGGGCTAGAAGGCAGATGTAGAAATGCTTCGAGTTTATTTCGACAAACTCCTCATACTTCAGATGCCATCCTATTTGTCGAATATGCCACATGGTACTTTCATCAGGTTTGGTGATCTGCACTTCAGGGATCAGTTCTTTTGAAAAACACTTCCAACGGCACAAAAGGGATTGATACATGCAGGGACACCAAATCTTCACAGGCAATTTAAGACTATTAGAACAGATCTAGTTGACCCAAAATGTCCCCCATAGAATGAAGATACTAATAGAGTAAAATATCACTTACTAAGGAGGTTGTGGTGAAGAAAAAAAAAAGGTAGCCAGCCTGATGCCAGGCAGTGGAGAAGGTGGGCCTTTGTATCCATGCTGTGCTTTTATGTAATAACGTTGCAGAAGACCCAATGGTGATGCATACCTTCATCCACTTTTTTTTTTAATCTCGCTGTTTCATGTCTGCTGAAATTCAAACAGCAGATTAGGTTTTGTGTTTTGCTTTCTCCATGTGCAATAGGTATGTGACAGGAAAATGGTTCACCCAGGTGAAGTATGTTCGCATGCCATTTTTCTTATTAATAAAATAAATCTAAAAAAAACTTTTAAAAGTCTCTTTCTATTTGCAGAGGAAAGTCAAGAGCAGGGACCATGTAGGTGAATCTCTTAAGTACAAAGCAGATGCTGAAAATATCCAGATATGACGAGGAGAGGTTGAATATACTGGTATAGGAAGTCCTCAACCTACAATCACAATTGGGGCTAGAATTTCTGTTGGTAAGAAAATTGTTAAGTGAGTCACACCCAATTTTATAACCTGTTCTGCTACAGTTGATAAGCAAATCACGCAGCCATTAAGACAACCCGACTTTCCCCATTGACTTTACTTGTCAGAAACTGGCTGGGAAGATCACAGATGATGATCAAATGACCCTGGAATGCTGCAACCATCATAAATATATGCCAAATGCTCAAATTTTGTTCATAAAATCTTGCGGGTGCTGCAAGACTTGTGAAGGGACCAATTGCCTCTTTTATCAGCACTGTTGGAACTTGAATGGTCACTAAACAAATGGCTGTAAATCAAGGACTACCTGTACAAATGTATGCCATCATTGGAAAATGCTGATGTGGGAACCTTTGGACATCATTTTTTTTTTTATTAAAAGTTTTATAAGTTTTACAAAAAAAGAAAAAAACAAAACAATACAAAGACGAAAAACATATACAAAGAAAAAACTAAACATTACACAACAAACCCTCCCTTCCCCAACCTCCCCCAAGCACCCCCCCTTCCCCCCCCCGAGCTTCCCAGAGCAGAATATAGGCTTAATTAAAAAACAATTAGAAAAATTATATTTTAAAATATATATATATGTATAAGAATAAAAATTAAGAAAAAGCTATATAATATTTTTAATATCCATTTTAAACTATAAATTTTATCCATTTATGCCAAACAGCAAGAAATTTCTCTTGCGTTTGTTGCTTTAAAAAAGCCGAAATCTTTGCCATTTCCGCCAAATTGGACACTTTAAAAAACCATTCCTGCAGTGTATGCAAAGATTCCTTCTTCCAATATCCTTTGGACATCATTTTTAAAAGGAGCAAATTTTTCTTTTATTTAATTTATATATCTCATTACAAAGGGACACTTGCTTTTGTTTTTTAAAGGCTATCACAACAGCTTTGCACTCTTGCAGGAATTTTAAGGATAGATGTTTCTGGATGTTACATTTTGGCAGGCGTGTGCTTTGCTATTTTCCATGGAGTAGCCAGTGAATCTTGAAATAATCATTGTGATATTTTTTTTCCTGCATGAAATATGAAGAGGATGCACAAAGCTAGCAGGTTTTGTTCTATCTGCTGGTAAAGAAGTTGTGTTACTGATTCCAGTAACAAAGGAGGAGGGGGGGAAACAGCGACCCTAAAAATCATTGAGATTACAGCAGATAGCCATGGGCAGGTGAGGGAAACGACCGAAAAAGAGGGGGAGGAAGGAACAACGAATCTGGATGATGGGATGCATACAAAGAAAGTGATGGGTAAAAGGAAAGGGGGGGGGTAACAGCAGTCCTAGAAATTGGTGGTGCAATGGCGGACAGCGGGGGGGTGCATAAGGGAGGGGATTGAAGAAAAGAAAGTGGATAAGGGAATTGCGGCTTTAAAAACCCATCAAGGGAACAGTGAATACGTGCCTTTCAAGAATGAAACAATTAAGAGACATCAGATGGACCGATGACTAGGTCCAAGAGCTGTGCGTAAAACCGGCTGGTGTTATAAAAGGAAACTCCCATGGACTTGTTTCTATGCTCTGATGATGTCGGCAGTGCTGGCCGACGAAAGCTCAGCATTTTATTAAACAAATCCTAGTTTGATATTATCCTGGTGTTCGTATTTATTTGTTTTTACTACATGGCATTACCCAGGATTCAGATTTTTACACTTTATATAAGGAAAGCAATAGAGGGGATGGTTTTTCAGCAGTTTCTTTCTCTTAAACCAGTCAGCAATGTTTTATGGCATGTTTCTTTTTTTCTCTCAGGATTTTTCCCCACTTTTAAAAATTACGGAGGACCCCTAAACAGCTTTTGTTTGTACATGTTATATTTCCCAATATTTACCATAATAAAAATAAAAATCCATTTGCTGCCATTGTATGTATGTGTGTGTGTGTGTATGTATATGTATGTGTGTGTGTGTGTATATATATATTGCTCCTCGAAGCACGAAGCTGAAAACACCAGCCTGAAGATGACAAATGGGACTTCATCGAAACGTCGCTAAGACACTTCCAATTTTACGCGGGAGAAAACCCGCATAACCAAAGACCTGCATACAAACACCCACAAAAACCTCAGAAATACACACACACACACACACACACACACATACACACACACACACATATATATACTGCTCACAAAAATAAAGGGAACACAAAAAATCCTATAAGTTTGTGTTCCCTTTATTTTTTTGAGCAGTATATATATATATGAGTGTGTGTGTGTGTGTGTATATGTATATGTGTGTGTGTGTGTGTGTATATATACATATATATATACACACATATATATATACATATATATATATATGTATGTACACACACACACACACACACACATATATATGTACAATAGTACAGATGGTCAAATGGAAAAAATTCTTGATGCTTGGAAAAAAATGTAATGATGATGAATGTAAATATTCTGGAATGAATTCCAGAGGTAGGAAATACATTATACAAAAGTGAGAGAGAATGGTGAGAATTTTATAGCTAAAGTCCCAATCTATTGTTTAAGTTGTTCCTTGAAATACAAATGATCTATTAAATACCATGATTCAAATGACTTTATATCCACAAATTAAATCAAATCAATTGTAACCCATGAGCTCATGTCTTGATTGATGCAAGAGTAATGAAAGACACATTTACCACTTTAGAAAGGCATTCTTATGTACACGGAATACTTCTCATGTTTCTGGCAAATTGGAGGTTTTGATCTAATTCAGCCATACCTCAAACAAGAAAGAGTTTGTGGTGACACTAGCACTAAACCGGTGCCATTCTGTGAAATTTTGGAATACACGAAAGACAAGTCTGGAGCCAGAGAATTTAGGATGCACAGGCATAACATTCCTGAAATAGTGCAGGAAGCAAGGCAGATCAGTCAAACTGATAGAAGATCCAGGTCTTTAAACGCATTTCAGTTCCATCCTTTGGTCACCAATGGTCCAGGTGACAGGATCCTCCCATTCGTGTCTCCATTCAGCAGTGTTCTCCAGCTGATGCTTCCCAAAAGTTCAATTTCAAAAAAAGAACTTACTCCAAAAGGGTGTGGAGAGGGGTTGCAGATCTGCAAACCCTGTTTCTGAAATAAAGAAAAAAAAAACAGGCCAGCTTCAGAACTGGTGCAGATGGTACTCTTCCCCTTGGACAATAAAACAACCAACAATGTGGGGAAGTCTTCTGCCCCATCAATGCATATCCTGTTATTTTACCTCAATTACTTCATCTCCTTTTTCATAATGGAATGCATGCCATCCACTGCTTCACTAAGAAAAAGGGGGGGATGGAACCAAGGACCCTAGATATTTCAGACTTCACACTGAAACAGGTAAAACTATGGTGATTCTTGGGTGACTTATTTTCGCCTCCCTCTGCAGGCCCTGAAAGATTTAAAAAAGCTTCTCAAAAAAGGCAAAGGGAGAAGGAAGTGCTAGAAAATAGGATGTTTCAGCAGCCAGAAAGTCAATAGCCACATACTTGCCTTGGATAATTCTGTCCAAAAGGATGCTACATGGAATTCTAGAATGCTGTGTCTCTTTCTCCTATGCTTTTGAACACATCTGGTTTTGTGACGAGGAAATATTGATGGGAATCACGGCAGGGTTATACATGAATATCCAGGTCATCTCTGTTTAATTGTACAAACACATCAGATCTTGTCCAGGTAGTCCTCAACTTATGACCACAATTGGTCGTAATTTATGTTGCTAAGTGAGAAATTTGTTCAGTGAGTTTTACTCCATTTTATGACTTTCCTTGGCACATTTGTTAAGTGAATTACTGCAGTTGTTAAATTAGTAACATGGTTGTTAAGTGAATCTGGCTTCCCCCATTGACTTTGCTTGTTGGAATGTGGCAAAAGGGGATCACATGACCCCGGGACACTGCAACTGTCATAAATATGAGTCAGTACTTTCGGTTTGCCATCGCAGCCACTGTGGCCACTGGAAGGCGAGCTCCGTCTTCCGCGGTTTCGTTCCGCTGGGGGACTCTGGAAAGGGTCGAAAGTCGCCCTGTAGGGGCGATGAGCAAGGAGGGGACCTCCGCTTGATCCGGGGCAGCCTTCCAAACCGGTGGAGGAAAGACCAGCCATAGCAATATGGCTCATCACTAGGCTGCACACAACCAAAGTCAAACTTACCACCAGGCACTTCTAAAGCAACACGGATGAAACTGGGTGAGATCCGATCTTCTCTCTAAAATCCTAAGTATTTTTCTTCCTGTAAAAGCTGCCCAAAGTATCTTTCCCCTGTGAGGAGAGAGGGAAGGGAATTTCTATCCAACCTCTAAGAATAGTGGCGATTGACTACCTAGGGGAGTTAAAGCACTAAAAGAATAACTTTAATCTAATTGAATTTATATGTTTCTGAAACTTGGGGACCAAAAGTTTTCTTATTTTCACTGAAGACTTTTGTTTTTATCTATAAAAAAGAAATAAAATTGGAAAAAGGACTATAAAAATTTTGAACTTAAAAAACCTTAAGCGGCATCGGTGACATCTTGGGCAAAGCTTGGTATTACAACTTGTTATTGCCTAAAGGAGACTTGGCTTGAAGCCCAGACTACAGAAAAGACTCTTTTAAAGTTGATAAACACCACCTGTGAGAAGTTCAGCTGTAAAGAGAACTTCTGGGTGGCATGGCTGGCCGCCTTGAACTATGAATGTAAACCTTTATTGATTTTTAGAGCTGTATGTGGAGAATTGCCTTCCTACTTTTTTATCTGAGAAATATTGGTCATTATTGGAGATGATGAAATACCTTGGATTATAAAATCTTACTTGACAAATGACTTCTACTATAGAGACTACCT